CACCGCTCTTCTATTCTCTTCTCTCTAAATCAATTCGCATCTCTCCCTTTTCACCAACCAAAGGTACTCTCTCTCTCTCTCTCTCTCTCTATCTTCATGTACATGCACAAAAATTTTTAACTTTTTCTCCTTCAATTCATTAACCATTCTTCCTCACCAAGAAACCTTCTCGCTGTCTTTTCCCTTCTCGATTCGTACCTTGATTCATCTGTTACTCATGGGCAAAGGCAAAACAATCAACTTTGCTTTTAATTCGTTAACAGATCTCGCGCCAATGGAAAAATTCATATGCATGTTGTTTCAATCTTCCCATTGCCATTTGCCACGATAAATTTTATTTTCACGCCTGAAGCGTTGAATAATCGAACTGATTATCTGTCACAATCGACCCAAACGCGTTTACTTGCTGTTAATTTGACCTCGTGAGACTTGGATTAGATGCAATTGTTTTTGCCCCATTTTTTGTATTTTTATGTTTGCCCCAATTTATTATTTCAATTTGACATTATATTATGCTGTTGTGCCTATGAATCAAAAGAATATTATGTGGTGACTTAGTCTCAAGGCCTAGGAGTAAGAGTTGAAGTAATATACATAGTATTTTAGATTCGAATCTCGATGTCATTATTGTAATTATTATGGATCAGATAAAAAATCTCTAGTCGCACGATCAGAATTTTTTGTGTACGATGAAGATAACATGATTTGAACTTTAAGACTTTGTGTAGATTATCCAAATTCTTTTCTGCTATAGGGTTAACTTGTGTTGATTAGAATGAATAATGAATTGGAATTTGTTGAAGGTTAGAAGAGTAGATCATGGGGAGTAAGGCACCAAATTGGTCAGATCAATGGGGAAGTGAAGCATTTGGCAGTGATCACTATGATGAAAATGAGAAGCTGAAGAAGAGTGGTGGAAGCAGCAAGGCAAAGGCGGTGGCATCAGCTGGTGTGGACAAGGCCAAAGCAGCAGCAATTGTTGGAGCTGACAAGGCCAAAACAGCTGCTGTGGTGGGTGCCCAGAAGGTGAAGAGTGGCACCTCTGCTGGCCTCAAATGGTTCAAGAATCAGTACCAGAAAAGGACTTCAAAGTGAACTCACTCCCTGCTCCTTGGACAGTTTCATTTTCATAGCTTTGGTAAATAATACATGATGCTCCAGTAAAGTCTTTTCTTTGTTTCTTAATTATTTGCTTTGCTTTGCTTTCTTTGGAGTTTCTAGTGCAACAGTCCAGATTAGCTGCTTCTTTTTATTTTTCACTTGTTTATAGAGAAAAATGTTGGATGTTGAACTTATATATCGTTGTTCTATGACTGCTCAATGAACAAATTTCAGAGTCTTAAACCGTTTGTGGGAATGCAGGGTTATGTTTTACAAACGTTATTGTGTAAAATATTATGTAATTATAATTAATTTAGACACACATTATGATAAATGAATTTTACATTATTTTACTTTTTGCACAACCTATATTTGCACTGAAACAACTGGAAACTAAAAGGCACACTAAATCGGGTTAGATAGGTTGATTTTTATTTCACCTGAACAAACTTTATGTCAATCAATTTGAACTTCAGATTTCTTTTTAATTTAATTTAATTCAAATAAACAGAGTGCATGTCTGGATCAGCTTAATGATTTTTATTTCACCTAAACCAATCTATGTTTTGATTTTCATTCAGTTTCGTTTGATTCCAACCCTACTATGTTATTTTATTTTTAAAAATCTAAAACAACATTCGTTTAAATAGAATTTGTTCAAAATTTTAAAAATAACTTATCACCCAATTCAAATTAACATAACCATGATAGGTTTTTTTTTTTTTTTTTTTAAAGATAAGAAAGATTACAAAGATGGTCGTTACTAGGATTGAATACTTCTAACTATCATAATCTCTCCTTACCCAATTACTAGGCTAACCTTAGTGATCAACCATGATAGGTTAAATTAGTAAAAGTATTTGAATTTTTTTTTTATTTATAAAAGTTACAATGACGGTTACAAGCTTCAAACCTGGACGCATATTATCATGCATATTGCCACAATCTGTTAGTATGTCAATTCTAGTGGTTCAAGTATTTGAATATTGAATTGAATTAGTTTTTAAATATTATCAAAATTAATATTTCTTGTTGTCAATTAATTGCTTTGCTTTAAATTCTAAATCAATTTCAATCCATTCAAAAGATATATGAATTGGGTTAGTTTTTGGCTTCTTTATTTATTTTTTATTTTTTTTGAGGGGGAGTAAAAAATTAACCTTAAAATATACAATAAATAAAATAAAAACGAATTCAATGTAAACGATCAAAGAAGATTTGCCTTTTTTTTTATTAAAACTTAATTTTCAATTTAAAATGCAAAAGATATATAATTAAAAAGAACATATGATAAAAAAAAACTAAACATTAATTAATAAACTTACAAAAATATATTAGAATAGTAAGATGATATTTAAATACTAGGAGTATGGTATCTTTTTTTTTTTTTTGGGGGGGGGGGGGATCGTATGGTAATTCCACGAATATTTTTTCGATCACGTATATCTGCCAATATAAGTGTGACTTTTGGTATAATAATTCTTCAAATAGAATTGTGCGTGAGATGCGTTTTCAAAATTAAATTTGAATTGCAGTTCAATATCATAATTATTTTTATTTTTCTATTTCCAGTTTGTTTTGTATTCAGTTTCGTTAGTTTTTACATTTTCACTTCAATTATTAAAATTTACATTTACATTATATTAAATCACATTATGTTCACCTATAAGAAGTTTATCACAATTCATTTAGTTATTACTTTTTCGTTTTAATTATTATAATTTACGTTATATTACATTATGTTCACCTATATTAGTTTTGGCCTAATAAAAGAAGCTTATCACAGTTCAATCAGTTTAACTGTTTAAGATTTTATTCTATGCATTTGCACTTGCTAAACTACTAATAAAACTGTAACAAAAAAAAGTACTAATAAAACTACAAGTACATTCATCAAGTTTGGAAGCGTCGAATAGTAGAAGGCAATTGTTTTATAGAAAGAGAAAGAAGAAAATGTGTACAGAGCTACGAATTAAAAGAAATCTGAAATAACATTATTTGCTCACCTTTTAATAAACCAAAGGCCTAAAACTGCTAGGCTTGCAATTTGCCATTTTACCCAAATATCAGTAGTTCAGTGCTATCTCAAAAGACCTATGCCCATAGCAATTAAACGAAGATGCAACTTGAGTAATTTATACAACATTATCACCATTGTGAAAAATAAATGACCTACAATGCTTGCTCTCTAGCCCTTTTGTTTCTCTTCCATTTAGTTAAATTTGAACGCAGGAGATTTGACTCGTTTAAAAAGACAAAAAATAATAATTGCATGACATCATTCATAAATAAAGGTCAGAGATTAACGATGTGAACATTGAACGAGTATACCCTTAAACTTTTGCAATTTTGAACTGAGGAAATACGACAATTTTCAAATAAGTTCCCATGGACATAATAAACTTTACAATAAAAGCATCAATCCAGAGAATTTACAATTAAGCTAAGTTCTTCACGTGTCATTTTTTATGGAGTTCTATTCAGTTGATTGGCTGTCATGTTTTATTTCAGAACACATTCCCAAATGTGTTTTCTCCACTGTAAGTCATATATAGGAATCCATCTTCATCCTTGTTTTCCTCATAAATTGCAGACATCATTGCCGCTGCATAAATAGAAAATTCACCAAATTAACCATAAGAACAATCATCATATATAACAAACATTCCACATACACGCCCACAAAATCCATATTTGTTACCCGTTGGTGGTAAGATGTTCTTTACAAAAATGAAGATGGCCTTCTCGGGACTCAGCTTGATTCTCTTCCGCACCACATACACAAACTGCCCAACAGTCAAATCAGCAGGACAAACTTTATGTCAATCAA